GTTTTGATCGTTGGGACATAACGGCTCCCGACTGCGGCCTCCGGCATGCGTCCCGCTTTCTTTGTGTGTGTAAGACTGCTCCTGCATCGATGCGAAGACCAAGCTATCTGCACACTGTCGCTGTAGACTGCATTGGTCGCTCGCTCGCTCACTCGTAGGCACGAGTAGTCACAAGCGCAGATGCAGCGAGATGCTATGCAAGCTAGCTGGATGAGCACTTTTGCAACTTCCGCTGTGAAATTTTCAAATAGTGCACTTCCTGTTTTTGAGCCCAAGATGGTGACGGCGGTAGCAGGGACCCGTAGCGACGAATGGCGGAGACAACGATTGCTGCAGCGACGGTAGTGGTAATAGAGGGCAATAGCAGCGGATGAAACGGCAGCTTACTACCATTGGCTGTGCGATGAGCGACGCGCGCGCCTGCCGAACGGATTTGAGCGGATGTCACACGATGGCCAACCGTTTCGCTATGACCATAGCTACTACTAGCTCGGAGTAGTGACATGGGTGCTGGCCCGGGTCATAAAAGAGCTTAGGGTAATGGTGACTGACGCTGGTCGGCATAGCGTGCGCCCTGCTTCCAGCACCTAGTAGCGTCTGCCGAACGAGGCAGCTATATCTAACGAAGCTATGGAAGCGATAGTAACTACAGGCTTCTAGCGAAACTCTGCCTTCGACTGAGTTGTCGAAAGCTTGGCGACTAAGCAACCTAAGGGCTAGACTGACGGCCGCCTCGACTCGCTTTCCCCTTCAACTACGTCCGTTGCTGTCCTGCTGCTGCCTACATCCTTATATCTCTATGAGGGCTCCCTGATGCTCAGCAGCCTCGCATGTCCCGTTTGCTAGCCAGGCGGCAACTAAGCAGACGTACTACGGCTAGCTGCAAGTAAGATCTTTTCCACAGCATGCTACTGCCTCCTTCAGCCTCCCCCTGTTGCTCAGCTCTTCATACTGGCCACTGTTTGAAGGGTAGTATACATCTGGAGCGAACGAATAAGGGACACGGCTAGCCTCTGCTAGACGACCCTTGTGAGGTGGCACTTCCTCATTTTCAAATGAAATTTATTGTTTTACAACTGCTGCTGCCGCTCTTCGCTCATCTTGCCGCCTCATGGTCGCGCGTTTTAGACGCTGCGCCTAACACCGCTACCATCACTTCCTAAGTAGTGCTTTCTATGCCTGCCTGCCTGCCTCTATTCAATTCTCGTCATCGCGGTACAAAAGGCTCTTTCTTAACTCTCTGCTGTACAACAACCGACCAAACGACCAACTTGCCCGGTATGTTCCCTGTATGTCGTTCCACATCAGCTCTGGACACGACAGAAGGCAGCGTCAATGAGTCTTCTCCCATAGTATAGTCTAGCATGGTCTATGGTTCCTGGATCCATCATTCGGCATCGATCAGCAGCGACCCCCTGTTAGCTTCTATCCTGTCGGTTCTCCCTCAAAGCCTCTGACCCCTTCTGGCCTCTAAAGCCGCCGTAGCTGGCTAGCCGGCTGGCAAGCACCAATGACTGGCGGCGTTACTATGTTCACTGCTGGAGAACAGAGCCGGATGACCGAGCGGCCGGGCGATGATGGAGGCCTTTACCAACCGAGTCCGTTTAAGTCGAGTGTCTGTGTATATTTATCTGTCTCTGTGTTCGAGTTAGTGAGATCGCACGATTAAGCGTACCCCGAGGCCACTCTCAATTATCTCCCCCGCCTCACCGTCGTCGCCTGATCCAATTCAACCATGTCGGCCTCTCGTTGGGTCAACACGAACGCGCAACGCGACACGCAAGCAGCTTCCGACAACGACGAGAACTGAGAGCAAACGGGAACGAATGGAACCAGCCTATTTGCTATAGGCGGTGCCTTTATCTGCTGCACCCAATCGACGAAAGGCTGACTGAAGGAGTATGCTCCGCTTCCTGGCTTTGGATTGCTCTCCTATGGCTCTCTACCTCGTTCCCTCGCACTCTTGCCAGGCCCTGTTGCAAACAGACAACTTCCGGCGGGGTTTCCGGTGTACGGCGCACATTTTCAAAACGTCACACCTATTCCATTAATCTACCGGTGCGTACACTTTAGTCTGTTAGTTGTGTAAAATGAAACACTTCGAAAAGAAGCACCTTTTGAAGCGATGCTAGGCAGTCTCTATATTGGACAAGAGACTGCACTAGTCAACATGATTCTGTATCATCTTCGCGGAATCCACCCCTTATGAAATTCGGACTTCACTCTACAACAGAACAAAAGGAGCTATCCAGGAACGAGCCGTAAAGTTCCTACTCTATCCGATTCTACTCCTTGCACAGCGTTTCCTACAAACAGCGTGTGGACTTCGCCCATATCTGTTTGCCCAACCTAATTCGGAATAACATTGCCAACTTTTCTACCCCTGTTCGCCTTCCGCTTATGTAAACGCATATCATGATACAATATGCATAACCGATAGGGCAGTAATAGCAGACGACTGATGTTGGTGTGTCAGGAGCGCTTTATACCTCTCTTCGGCCATTTTGATTGGTGTAGCAAGCACTAGTTTGGACAGCGTTCACCTCACCACATTCCACGATTTAACACTTATATACTTCAGAAATGGCAAAAAGATCGGCTTGGGTGCATGAACAATTTCTGGGGCACTGGACTCTGATGTAGACTGTTGAGTAATTGTGGGTGATACTAGTTTTTATGCATGTCGATTTGCTCCTTCGTCGATGACGTAGATATTGCCTGCTGCTCATCGTTGCCTTGTCGTAGGTGGTATTACTGTCATTCCGGTCATACCGGTCATTCCGTGTTGGTCCGCGAGGTATGAGATGTGTGTCATCGAATCGCTCTCGACGTGCATCAAAAAGGGCGTATACTCCCGATGTCCTCCTGGTGCAGGCCTCCGGAGCCGAGGCACTCAGTGCTCTGGAGTCCTCTGTAAATCGCTCACAATAACACTGCTGGAGATTGTTGCTTCATTGTGACGTACAATGTGCCGTGAGTGAAGTCTACGCGAAGGCTACCGATAGGTAACCGCTGGGCCACAAGGAGTACAGTGCCAGTCCGTACTGCGACGGTCGACATCATCAGATATGGTACTGCTGTTTATACGACGTACGCTTAGGAGCAGCCCCCAGCAGAAATGCAAGGAGACAGAATGAAAATACAATGTAGCAAGAAAACATGCCCAGGTATAAAAGGAAGATCGGAACAGCCCCATTCAGCTAAGGAAACCCAGGATAAAAGAAGGAACAGGTACTTCCTACAAAGATAAAGCTAGATTTGCGCATCTGTGGGTACGTCGTCGTGGTAAGTTATATACTATCGGAGCCCATGCTGTTGTATCTACTCTATGTGATATTCATTCGAATGATGACTTCTAGCCATGAGCATCCGTATGCATTTGCCACCCATAATGCAGCTTACGAATACAATATCTTGATTCTTAGAGAAACGTTTTTTTTTTCTATAGATCTACTGTGAGGTAGCAAGTTGCGTACACCAAAAGACGTTAAAAATATCACTAAAGGATGCCCTTTTAGTCGTAATCAAAAGATCACTGAGAGCAGGTTATAAACTCGAACGCTTGTCAATCCGTTCGTTTCTATGAATTAAAAGACAAACACGCGGTTCCCT